GTAAGTGATAAATTGATATGTATATTATAGATATTTACAATTGTGTCATAATTATATTCCTTTATTTTGTCTTTTTTTTTTTGGTGTAAATCGTTATATATATATAGTATATTCAAATTTTAGAGGGGGCAATTATACAAATATAATAATCTTTCCATATAAAATTAAAAGTTGATTAGGTGCAGTTACCCCCACTTGTCCCTCTGTGGCTAAGCTACTGCCCGCCAGGGCCCCGCCTCACCCGTTTATAGTGGGGATGAGAATCCTTTTAGCTAAACGGGGATGAGGTTGGGGGCAAATTATAAATCCCTACTAGGTCGGGGATGGGGTAAACCAGCCCCGTCCCGCCCCGATTAAGTGTGAAGTTACTAATATACCCTTACATATAATAATTTATTACTAAATTAGATTTAGTATATATATGAAAGTAAGAAAAAAAATGTGTTTTTCTTTTAATAAAAAAAATTATGGGGCTGGGGCCGAGGGTGGGGTGGGGTGTGGTGGGGACGAGGATAAGGAGTCGGGGGCGGGGGCAAGAATAGTGGCAAAATTTTAAGCAGAGATGGGGGTGAGGACGGGGATTGAAAAATTCATCAAGGATGGGGATGGGGGATGGAATTCCCGCCCAGTTGCCATCCCTACTCCTCACACAACCACTTTTTTCTTTTTGGTTGTGGCCAAAATATTATTATTATTTTTAAAAAAATATTACAAAAAGTACACTCTCTTGTGAATGTGTTACTTAATCCTAAAAAAAATATTACAAAAAGTACACACTCTTGTGAATGTGTTACTTAATCCTCAACAAATGGCATTATTTGATATAATATAATACATATTTATTGAATTCTATTTTGAGCAAATTTCTTCTAAACCATTGAGAAGCTTAATACATGAATGAAAAATAAAATAACAATTTTTGGATATTCTAAGATTATAAATAATTCAAAATCAGATAATTTCATTTAATTAAGCTCAAATTCTATGATTATTCAAACTTGAAAAATGTTATACAAGCTGAGTTGGCATGAGAATCATTATCCTAAAAACTGTGAGCAAAAAAAAGGATTAAAAAACATGAATTGAAATACATTTTATTTTTAGGATATGTTATTGCTAAAGGTTTAATGGGTTTGAGGAGTGAAGTAGCGTTTTTTAAATTCCAAGTAATTAATTCGATCTTGTTTTGTTCCATAAATTATTGTTTTTATATTTCCTAGACTTTAGACAGTTATTATTATTATTATTCAAATCAAAATCGTGGACATGTTTTGATTATGCTGTAACCATCAAATAAGATGATGGACAACAAACCTTAGTTTAGAAAATCTAACCAGCTTAGCAGATTTTCAAGTAATTTTTTTAAATGACAATTGCATAATGTTTGGAAACAATGTCATTCATTAATTAGTATGTCAATGTTAAATGATTGGATTGACAAGTTCTAGACGTTTGAGGGCATCCGGTTTTTTCAAAAAAAATAATAGCGAAAACTATGTATTTTTAATTTGATTATTTATTTTCAATGTGACAAAGAAACAAAAGTTATAAATGTGTCGTGTTCGTGGAAGGGACACAGATACGACACGGGTAAGACGGTTTTCTAAAAGTATTCGTACTTCATAGATTATAAGTTATCAATTCAGTCTTATTTTGTTGTATAAAATATTATTTTTATATTTTCTAGATTGAAATATGCATTTAGGATAAATATTTTATTTTATTTTTTCTAATTAAAATCTTGAACGTATTTTGATGCTTAAGACTGTGATTCATCAGTTGCAATATCAATGTATCAATTTGGTACTTTCAAATACAATATTAGTAGTAAACTTTTACATTACATTTAAAATTATTTATTTTTTTCTTTCTTCAAATTTCATTTTTTTTGTTTGTTGTTCAACTCATTGTGTTCTCTCCATAATCACGTTATTCGTTTGATTATTTATGTGCGTCCACGCATAGACGTACAAAAAGCAAAGACAAACGTTTGGCTACTAGAAATTTGAATTCTTGTAAAGACTCTCTTTTAGTTTAGAGGATGAATTTTTTTTATAGATTTCATTATTAACAAAATCATACATTGATAAAATATATTGCAACTTTCTCCTTAATAACTAGTCTTCTTGGATGTGATTATGTGACATTGCTGAGCCCCGTAGCGTGGACTTGTGACTAAGTGGGAGCATTAAAGTGGTTGGACGGGGTTCTTGGGCCACTAAGTTTGATGCAACTCCTTCTCTGGACACACCGGAAGTTATTTGTATTTTTTTTTTTTAACAAATACTTGATATAATATAATACAAATCTATTAAATTATATTTTGAGCAAATTTCTTCTAAACCATTGAGAAGCTTAATAATATATAAATGAAAAATAAAATAACAATTTTTGGATATTCTAAGATTGTAAATAATTTTAAAACAGCTAATTTCATTTAATTAGACTCAAATTTATTATTATTCAAAATTTAACAACGTTATATAGAAGCTGATTTGGACAACAAATCCACATGGATCACTTGATGAAATAGAATATATATATATATATATATATATATATATATATTAATAATTAATTTTATTGTACTCTTACTGTCTTACATTGTGACCAACCGGCCATTAAAGTGGTTGGATATAGTTCATGAGCCACCGAGCAATAGTTTCTAAGGTTTAAAGAGGAACCAAACCCTGATGGGTACCGTCCGGGTCAGAGAGGGCCTCAATGAATCATGGGTTGGCTATGCAAATCACAAAATATGGACTTATCCATACTAAAAATAATTTATACAACGTTATACAAGTTGAGATTTTATATTATTGAAAATCAACTAATTTCGTTTAGTTTGACTCAAATTAAATTAATATTAAAACTTGAACAACGTCATACAAGTCGAGATTATTAAACAATATTTTGAATAAGTTTCCACAATATTATTAGATTGGTTGAAATACATTTTAATTTTAGGAACTATTATTGCTCTAAGGTTTAGTGGGTTTGATGAGTCGATCCTATTTTTCCAATTAAAATATATTTTCTCAATTTGAAGTAATTCGCATAAAATATTTTTTCTATATTTGCTAGACTTAAATATTTTCTCAATTTGAAGTAATCAATTCGGTCTTGGGTCGTCATGGCCTTTGTGGCTTAGCAATTGCTTGGTGGATGCATTATTATGATTTTAGCAAAATCATAGGTTAAAAAATGTTATGTTAAAGATTTAACATCCGAGGTTGAGGTTCTAATACATGTTATATACTGTCAGTAAGATCACAATGTGTTGTATTTAATAAAAGGGTTAAGTGTAAAAAAATACTCTCGCTATGTATATATAAATAAAATATATATAAATTCCTGTATTATTATTAACCTTTTGAGCGAATTACCTCCTAATCATCAATTTTGATAAATTTTTTTATTAAAATCCTAAAATACCCTCAAACAATTAAAAAATATATATGTAATAATGTAAAATTTCAAGGTTAAATATATATATATATATATATATATATATATATATATATAACACTAAGCAGCTCAAAATTAATTGTGTTAAGAGAGAGATTTAATTGGTGAAGATATGGGAGAGACCAAGAGTAGAAACTGAGTTTTTTTCCAGTCAATTCGAGGGTTTGCGAACGAAAAAGTCTCACAATCCGAGGTCGGAGCGTTGGCAATAGTGCTTGAGAAGCCATCAACAACCGCTCCAATCCTCAATTTCGTTCCTAGTTTCTTGGTTGTGTTCTGAATTAATAAAAAAAAGGTTTAGAGAGAGAGAAAAATTTTGCGTCTAAATCCGGAGGTGGGTTAATTGTACCTTTGTTAAAGATCTTGCATCTCTGTTATTAGGGGGGTTAATTGTATCTCTGTTAAAGAAAAAATTTGCTTCTAATGGCACCCACGTCAGAAACCCAATTTCCACCCAGCCGTATATGGTATGCTATAAAGTTTTGGCGCTAGTGGTGGGGTGAGGATGGCGGTGGTGACGCCACAGGTTGTGGTGGTGTCAGTAGACTATAAGGTTCCCAATATTTTTAGAGAGAGAAAGGTAGGGGTGTAGTGAGAATGGTGTGAATTCATGAATAAATGATGAAGCAAAATGTCTCTCCTCTCTATCTCTCTCTTGTTTTCATTTCCTGGTCAATCTCTCACTACCATTTTTTCTGGTGACTTCCTTATTTGCCGATGTCTTCCTATCTTTTCTTTTCCCGCAACTTCCATTCATTCATTGATTTTAGCATTCATGAATTCACACCATTGTCACCACACCCCTACCTCTCTCTCTAAAAATAGTGAATTCTCAGTTGTATTATTCGTCGGAAATGGCAGAATACCTAAAGCAGTTCAGCATGGTTTTGGATCTCTCATGGTTGTGGTCCTTTTGGAGATCTTGAATCAATAAAACCAAATACAAATGGCGCAATGATTTTAATTTTCATAATATTATCGTCTTAATTCAAGATGGTAACATTCAAACACTTATCAAACAAGTTCAAGAAAGCAGGTACTTTTGAAGGGAAGCAAGCATAAAATTTACAGTGATGCTTTAAGTTTAATGCTAAAACTCGACTTTTGGCAAATTCTATATTCAAACATACCACATGCCTGTAAAAATCAAGGGAAAACAAAGATACATTACTCTAGAGAAGGTCCAGATATGATAAGCCTATTTAGATGAAACAAATATGACCAAACTCGAATCCTTGTATCACACCGTTCCATTGAAATTTTTTATCAGCCATATATTCCTGACAACTGACCTGACTACTCTAAATCGAAGCACTGCGATTGTCCTCTTGTGCTGTTTACTTCTTGCTACCAACAAATCCAGATATAACCAATTTGTTAACTTAGAGAGGGTTCGTTCTCTGACAGCTTTTGACATCTGCAATCACATAAGTTTAAGTTAAAGGAAAATAGAACAAGAAAAACCCAGCCAGAATCCATAAAGAAATATGACTCACCATAGTACCACAATCTCTTTAGCCCTTTCTTTAAAAATCTTCCTATCGAAACAGTCAGGTGTCAGTTGGCACTTAAACTAATATCTCCAGTAAAGCTGTGGGTAGTAACCACTCTAGTTTTTCTTATTTCTTGCCTCTGCTTTCCAGTGTCTTCTGCCAGATGCATTTCTTTCTGATCCACTACTATCCAGGATAGGAGATTTATTAGAGCAAAACCCATTTCCTAACGGTCGCTCTGGATTGGCTCCAGAAGGTAAAGAGGATGCTTGACTTTCACTGCCCGAGGTCAGATCAGAAATAAGAGGTCCAATGGATACAACTTCTTTAACAGCATGGATCTTTCTTGCATCTTTTTTCCAGTTCCTTTGACAGTAAATACGGGTTATGCAATTATTGACGATCCCATTCACTTGCAGTTCTACTTGCGGGGGAGGTTTTTGGTTTATGACACTTGCCTTCTTCATATCAGCTTCAAGACGTTTACGAGCCCTGTATCTACGTTGCCGCTCCCGGTTCTTTATACGACGGGCCATAATGTCTTCATCACTTCTAGCAAGTTCTCTTTGATCAAGATCCATTACAAAACTATCTTCAGCTCTAGAACCATTCACATTCTGCTCACTTTCCATTTCATATAAAGGTTGCAGAACCTCTATGGATAAATTTTAATGAAGAATGGCATTAAAGAACAGTTTTCTGCAAAAAAATTGTTTCAATGCAACATCCTGTTAGTGTCAACTACATTAATAGTTTAATACACTTTCAACTTTTGGAGTTCTATTCTCAAGAGTCTACTTGGGAAAAAAAAAAAAAATTTGGACCATCAGTATCAGTGGCTATGGCCTAGCACCACATCACTCCAATTGGTCAATCAATACCATTCAAGAGCTCTGGAGAGAGACGGGCACACTATTTCAAATGCAACAAGTATTACTTTTGTAGATGCGCTAACAATTAAGAGAAAAGAAAGAAAAAAATGTGCTATCTATTAAAACTAAATGTTGATCCCTCTATCATTACTCAATGTGTCCTGCCTCGGGAGGGGAAGATTGGAGACAGACCTAGCCTTTGGTATACCTTTCCCATGTAAGGCTTGAACCAACATCCGCCGAGCTTTTCACCACTGCACCAAGCAATGGCCCCCGTATCCCTGTATCAAGATTTAAAATGATTGTTAAAATGCTAATGAAGTATGGTTTTTGTTGAATTTCACTTATAACAGTGGTGCTGTACAAAGCAGTGGCATCATAAAAAGCCTAGCTTGAGGGGTGAACAAGGTGATCTAAAGAGGGAATCATAGGCTTAAAATGGGAGTGAGAGACAGGGAGAATGTCATTGGATGTTGGTCTATTCCAGATACTAGATATAAGCCTAAGGGAACTTTACGGGAAAGTCCAAAAACTTGTACCCGAACTACAGGCTCAAAATCAATGGAAAGCTTAAGGCTTTAAGGGCTTTAATGATTAAGGGTTACAAGGCTTCCAGACCAGGTTGATGGACTCACATGGTATGACGAGCTTAGACAGCAGTATCTGCATTCCAGGTAACTTCCCTTGATTCCTTTGTTACCCTTTTGGAAAACAGGGGTCCCCATGCATGACAGGGAAACTGTCTAATACAGGAAAACTCTCATCCATTCACCAAGTATGGACCCTCAAATAATTCATTAACCACTGAGGCAAGGGAACTGCCCTCACTGCAGATAAGATGAGAACAAAAATTCACCTTCTGGGTTCCTAAAAGAAGACCAGGCAAGAAACATATACTACATGCATTACCATCCAGCACTCAGAGCTCTACCAGCCCTTCTCCCCCTCAGAGTGGAAATCATCAAGGGCCTTGAAACTTCTGCCAGGAAGTTCTTGAAACCGTGTGCATCTTATGTCATTTCAAGTCTCAACTCCCAATATTAAGTGGTGTCTCTCCATGTTCTATTCTACTAGCTACATATTTCTTTGTTGTGCCATGTGGTTCTCATGGATAGGCTACATACATACACCTTACACCATAATATTCCCACATATTTAAATGCTATCACATGGGAATGATATAGAAACCTTACCTTGTCAGCGTGACAGCCTGGAGAAAATATCTGTCTTCCTCGGCATTTATTTAGAAGGACGGAGTGTTGCATCCACAAGATTGTGTACATCCAACCATAATATGGAGTTGAAATTCTAGGCTTTTTTAAGACTTTAAAGACATTCTGTATCAACAAAATCATTAATAATGTGACAATTATAGCATCACGATAACAGAATGTCATATGTGCATGTGAGTTTGTGCTCGTGTATATAAATAGCAAGAAAGATACTGATGATATTCAATATTAGCTAATTATTTGCAAAAAAAGCTTAGTGGTCTAACAGTATAGATGGTTACAAATCACAAAATAATGGTTCCACTGCAACTTCATACACACCATTATTGGCATTGCCAACAATTGTAAATATCAATAAATAGAATAGAACAAATATGATTGGCTGAGACATAGCAAGTTGACACAATCTTACGGGAAGTTGAGTGACAAAACTATCATTCAGTCCATGGGAAATCAAAAGATGAGCACAAAGTACAGAAACTTGCTTACATTTTGCACAAAATGCACATAAAATTCACATCTGCTTGTGTTTATTGGGAAAAAAATGGATTTCAGAAAATCAGGCAAATGAATCACTTATAAAAGGAAGTTGACTATTTAGTAAAGCAGAAAAATTAGAATTTTATAGGTCTAGCAATCATTCGAAAGGTACACAATAAAGCCAAAGAAATTGATATTCTAAACGGAACTCCAAATTTTTTTCCTCTTTTTTTTTTTTTTTTTTTTTTTTTGACAAGTAAAAAAGAACTCCAAATTTGAACACTGGAACATTACAAATGTACTCCCATTACCTATCAAATTATCTTTTATCATTTTATATAAACCACATTGTGTTTTTATGACGTTAATAAAGCATAAGTATACAATTTTATATATGTTGTTTGCAATCCAAGAAAACTCCTTGAAGAGTTAGCTAGCTTAACCGCAAAAACTAAATAAAGCTACCCACATATATGAAATATGTGGCATTACAAAAGGTAGTTATGACAATATTACCAAGTAAATTTTTCATGCATTTAGAGTTAAGTCACATATAAATTATATAATGGTGGGAGCAAAAGCAAACACGAGCGCAGGAAATGGCATGTGTATTGAAATATATAGATACACAAACATACATATATATGCATACATATGATATTTTCAATACTTATATATGTGCTACAATATATGATATAGGTAATGACGTCTTCAAAATATATAATTGTTGTTTCATTTTTATTTTCGAAATGAACATCAGTGCCAAAATTATACATGTATTTAAAATTTAATTAAAAATAAGTGCAATTTTCAAATATGAAAGGACTAGTGTAAATATACCATAAAAGTACGCGTCTTATGCATACACAATAATAATAAAAAGTACTTACACAAGTTATTTCCAAATACACACACACACACACACACACATATTCTTAGTAGTTTGGTTTTGCTATCTGATCTTTTGTAACATATTGCTAATAAATAAAACAATATAAACAAAGATAAAAGTGGCTGGAAAAGTTTTTTTCCCCAAGAGGACAGGGTAGCAAACTGTTTACCCTATATCATGAGAAGCGCACAAAAGACACATCGATGAACGTGGTACAATGGTATTAATTTTTTCCTCTATATGTTTGGTATAGTGATCAATTCACCTTGTCTCCACGCTTTTATAATATTTTGTTTTTGAAAGTCACATGTGGTGGATGGGTGTGACACAACACATTAGGGTAAGATCCTCTGTGTCCCTTAAGGACAATCTACGAGCTGACAGCAGAGTCACGCTCAAAACAACAATATCTGACTTCATAGTGCGTCTGCCGTCCTAGGATGGCGGAATAGGCGACTTAGGTTTAGAGTAGTAGAAATATAGATATTGACACAATTAAGCTATGCAACTAAAATAAAATTCATATCACATTGATATAGAAATGATGGTACAATGAAAACATGATCATTTCCAATATCTTGGATAGATTACTTATAAGGAGGAGATCAATGCAGGAGTTTTTATGTTGGGTGATCATAAAATGTATCAACAAAAAGAAAAAATTTACAAGACAGTTTTTATTTTTTTATTTTTATAAGTAATATAGAGCAGTTCCCGGAATTAAAACATGAGAGAAAACATGATAAAGATATTTATGATCCAAAATGTTGGTAGCAAAGAAACAAAATTTGGAGAAAAAATTCATAAGAAGGTTATCCAAAATAAAGTACAGAGATGGAATAAGAATAAATGCATTCATTACGTCTCAAGGTAGCAGCAATAAAGGTCGACATGCAAAAAAGTTGTGTAGGATGGTTTACTCATGACCAGAGATGTCCAATGACTAAACTGCTAAAGTTAAATATGAGTTGAGTTAAAGATATGGCAAGGAAAAGAGGAAGGCTAAAAGAATGTGGATAAATGTGGAGAGAAAGGGCAGGAAGGCTTATAAATTAGCTTATAAATTAACTGATAGTATGGCTCGAGTTTAAGGCGCAAAATTGATGAAACATCACATAACTGACTCTAGGTAATTGGCACTTGCACTATATTGAGTTGTAAAAGCAATGAATATGCATAAGCACCACTATGGATTTTCATAAACAAAAAATAAATTTCATCAATGATTCGAGAATCATTGAGCATGTTTAGGCTACTTGTTAAATATCCAAAAATTATTCAAAGTATTTATAAGACGAATGAATTAAGAAACATTGAACTTAATTATACAAATGTACTCCCTCTGTCCCAAAAAGAATGTCTCTTTTGGGGAATTGCGACTCACAGTTTCCGAAAAGAGACATTTATTTTGGGACAGAGAAAGTATATAACTAAAAAAAATTCAAATACAATGATTCCATATCAACAGCAAAAAGCTGTCATCTTACTCCAAGAAGTGATCTTCCACCTTGCACCAATTGAAAGCCTCAATGTTCCATACCTTTTCCCCCAATACCAATTTATTTGAAGACCAGTTCAGAATTTAAATTATTATTTCCAATTCTATACCGAACCAGTATGGTAATTAATCACGCTATATATATATACACACAGACACAATGCATCCATTTTATTAATTCAATAATCATATAGTTAATCACATTAAATGGTAGCTGGAGCAAATCCCCTTTTAGGCATCATTAGCACAGGACGAAAGACCACAATATTACTTTCTCTTTATAAAAGCATCTATGGTTCATATTATATATATATATATACAGGAGCAGACATCAGACTCAAGTGACTGCTAAAATCCAAAGCATTAACCCTTGATTTTGCAAACCCTATTGAAGAAATCCGAAAAAAAAAAACCTAGCTGCTGAAATTAATGATTCCAGCATATACATTTATATACATACATACATATTATATTGTGAATATCAGAATATATGTGTTTGTGTTGTGTGTGTGGGATTAACACAGATAATAAAAACTGAGACATCCAGATGGAACCAAATGATTAAGCAAGCCATTATTAGCCCCCAAAATATTATAAAATTCTAAGCAAAACATACCCCCAAAAAAAAATAAATAAATAAAACATAGTAAGGTACTATATAATACTTATATAATAGCTAAAAAAGCATTTTGCCCGAAAGGAAAAAGAATCGAAACAGCATAAATCTGAACAAAGAGGGAAATGGGGAAGACTGTACCTTTTGAAAAGAGCGTTTGAATGCAGATGGGTATTTTTCTACTTTTGTTCAGACACAGGTGTTTGATCGATGATTTTAGAGAAGAAGAAGGAAAAGAAACCCTAAAATTTGTTGAGTGGTGGCAGATGTGTCTTTGCTTATAGAGAGAGGAAAACTGTGTTTTTTTTAGGGAGAGAAAGAGAGAAAAGGGTTATCCTTCAGCAAATGGGTTCGATGGAAACGAAAGGGGCAATACATATTATTAGGAGTACAAAAGCATAAAACAGAGGGCTTTTTGTCGGGCGATTGTTTTCTGTTCTTGGCCACCAACAACGTTTGGAATGTAACGGCAAAGCCTAGTGTAGCACTGGACTTGATTCCTTTTATAGACACGTGTTTCGCTTGTGCTTTTTCTATTTTCTCATTTTCTATATTTGTAATTTTTTTTTTTTTTCTTTCTATATTTGTATTAATGCTGGTTTGTTTTGTGTCTTTTGACCTAAAATAGTTTTGAAAATCTTTACAGGCTTATAGATTAATGAAAGTTGCGTCGATTTGTTGTAGGGAATTACCTTATCGAATGTTTCTGATTAGTTATGTATGCACAATACATGTAAATGGAGGGTCCTATTTCTTTATTTATGCGATTTGTTATAATAAATTGTTAAGACTTATTTATTTTAATTGATCCATTGATGCATAAATAAAGAAGTGGGTCTCCACTTGCATGGATTGTGCATAAATATGCAATCAACAACATTCAAAATATTTGTAATGTTGTATCTGCAAACATTATATAATTTTCTAATATTTAAAACTTTTTTATTGCTCATGAAATCACACTTCATTAGAAATTCACTCTCACTTATTCAATAACAAATAGCACAGTTGGATGGCTTGATGTTTTAAATTGTTTTTTTCAAAATTTTAATGGCAAATAATAATAAGTTGTTCTTTTTTTTTTTTTTTTTACAAACCTGGCAAATTAGGGGAGGGAAAACTAGAACATACGCAAAACTGCTCAAAAGAAGAAAGTTATTCTTCAATTCACTTGAATAATTGATGGAAGAGGACGGATCCAAAAACTCAAGTGAGAGGGGCAATACAACTGCTCAAAAGAAGAAAGTTATTCTTCAATTCACTTGAATAATTGATGGAAGAGGACGGATCCAAAAACTCAAGTGAGAGGGGCAATACTAAATTTTTTAAATAATATCAGAGGGGACAAAAGTAATATTTCGTAAGTATATATATCAGAATGACAAAATAATAGGGTAAAATAGTGGGTGAAAAAAATTTCAGAGGCCAGGGGTGGAGGCAGAAATTAAATTCAGGGGCACAATGTAAAAAAAAATTAAAAAAATCAAATAATCACTACAATAAATATAAATTCTATAAATTAAGACACAAAGAAGAAAAATTACTCAAAATAATATGCAAAATAATATGTCAATCAACGAGTAATTTAAGAAAGATAAATAGTTAAGAAAGATTTAATAAGGAAAGAAAATGAGAGAATTTTGAAAAGGAAAAAAATTGGAGTTTGATTCAAAAAGGAAATTTTGAGTTTGTTAAAAGAAAATTAAACGAATTTAAAAAGTAAAAAAGAGAAGAACTACAAAATTTACGAGATAATTTTAGAAAATAAAAATTTTAGGAAAATATTATATGAATTTATATATATATATATATATATATGTAAAAATTTATAAATTAAATATATGTTTTATAATAAGTGGAGTCAGGCTGGGGACATGCGCCCCCCAGGCATACGCTGGCTCTACTTACCGTCAAATTGTAAACAATCGGTATCATGGAGCCTAACAAGTAAAAGGACTTAAAATTTGTGCGGAACAATTCCAAGCCCAACCGTGGTTCTAAAGTAAGAATGGGCACACAGGATAACATTTTCTCCTAATTGGGCCTGTTTTGGACTTGCTGGAATGGGAAATTTAGGTCCATAACAGATCGTAATGGAGTAATTCCTAGTCGCGTTAGGGATGATAATAGTCACTCCTTTACTCTCAACTTCTCAAAATAACTACCTTTCAAAAAAAAATTAATAATAAATAAAAATTAACGCCAACCCTACACAACTTACAAATTTAGTACAGCTCTTAATTCTCAAATTTCCATATAACTAATATAATATTGATTAGGAACAAATTTGTACGAATTGTAAGCATATGCCATTCTTAATTATCTTTCAATAATTGGCACCAAAGTAAAAAATATATATATATATATATATGTTTTAAGTGGGTCTAAAGCGGTAGTAGTGTGCCAGAAGGTTTCCTAAAGAAATGAGTGATAGTTTCTTAAGTCAATAATAAGAGATTCAATCATTCCATCGAATAATTCTCTCAAATTAAAATATATATCTCTCTCTCTCTCTCTCTCTCTCTCTCTATATATATATATATATATATATATTTGTGATTGTATCTGCTCAAATGAAAATCTGGTGATGGAAGACCTATGTACAGCACATGGCTCTCAGAATATTTAACCTTTATTATAGCAGTGGATTAATTTTCTAATAGTCGTCCACTATGGCAGATACTATTAAGAGTTTCTATATTATTTTTATAATTTCTGTATTATCTATGGCGTTATATATATATATATATATATATATATATATATATATATTGACGAAGTATGCCCCTTATAAATGTGTGTAACTTCTTTTTATTTTAAATTTTAATTTTATTATAATTTAATTCTGAACAACATTATTACAATTAACAAATTAATTAAAATGAAGAAAAATTTAATTTCTCTCTTCAATATCTGCAAGAATTAAAACTATGAGAAAGTCAATGATTAAATTGTTGGAATGTATGAGAATGATTGGTGCCTCTGGTTTGATTAACTATAATCAAATTGAATAAAAAATCATTTTTGCGAACTATAAATCATCCACATAGAATAATGTTTACGTACATTTTGTACTTTAACATCATTGGATTAATTTTCAAGTCAATTTACCAGTGTGAACTAAAACTTTTGACCTATAATTAAAGATGAAAATATTTATTTAAAATCAGTTCCTTCCATTGGTTATTTATTTGTTTGTGTTATTTTTTAGAGCAGAATATGAACTGTCTCTCTAGTATATATTTCTCTCAACATTACATGCATATATAAAAAAATAAAAAATATATTATATGCATGTATTATTTATAGAGCATTGCAGCAAAGTTCCTTTAAAAAAATGACTCATGACATTTTTGCCTTGTTCGATTATATGTAAATATGTAATTAGTACTTTGCTATTGGAATTGAATAAAAATTAATTTAAAAAGCATAAATTTTATGCAATGGAACATAGTTATTTAGTATCATTCATGATAGGACCTTTAATCAGAGACGGGTCTCAAACTCCTTTAAAATTATATTGTATAAATTAAGCAAAGCATTCCAGATTGTGTGTAGATTCAATTCACACACTGGCTGCTATTTACATATATAAGCTGTGAATGTGTCATATGCCTAACTCTAAAGGAAGAGACATCAATTTAAACCTCGTAATGGACAGATATATGCCTAACATGGTTGAATTAATGAGTGACGTCTTGTGAATTTGAAAATGAAATATCATTTTCATGTGGTAAATTAATCAACTCTTATTAATTTATTGTGTTGACTGCAACTAGTTTTAAAGACGATGATCAAAAGTGAAATGATAAGGGTACTTCTTGAACCATTGATCAGTCCGCGTTTGAAAAATTCTTGGAAGCATGCAATCATGTTATTTATTTATTAATTGTTTAACCTATCAATAAAACAACAACGAAGCTTCAAACATTACAATAATAAGCAGCCAAATCCAGAATACGTACAAGGGCTATATATATCTTGAGAGGTATGATTCTTGGAAAGCTTTGCTAGAGCATAAGTAACTTCATTGCCATGTCTCCAAACATGACAAAAGCGGAATTCAAGAAAAGCTCCAAGAGGCCCGCTTGATATCATGTTATTGATTTCAATGAATCCCAAAATTAGCGAGCATGGTGATGGGAAGAGATTTATGCTCTGATCTACCCATTGAATTTTAATTGGATTTTGATAATAGGCAACTCGAAAGTGCATTACAACTTGATTTTGATAAGAGTAATGATATTTATTGAGAGTTTAAGCAAAATGGGGAATTAAAGACTCTCCATTCAATAAATACACTCATCCACATAATTTTTAATTGAGAGTGTTTAACGAATCTTTGACTTTCGATTTCTTTAAAGGTCTTTAGCTAAAATCATTATGGTTTTGATTGTTGGCGCAACATGAAAACTCAACAGTGTTGAGAGAAATATTTATTAAGAACTTTCACTTAATATAGTAATATATATATCCCTTGGTGGTTTCCATTCTAGAGTTACGAAGGCCATGATTTTTTAAGCCAGCGTGTCTTGTGATGAACTGAAGTTTGACCAGATAATGAATCCGAAATGCAGAAGCGAAAACAGAAACAAGGTCTCTAGGGATATATAACATCCCTAGGACGCCAAAGTGACCTTCCATGAGGCTACGGGATTTTACGAGAACCGACGCGGAATAAAAAATCAGAAAAAGACCAAAAGAAGCCCCCAAGGGCAAAATAGTTTTTTTACATGGAAGCAACATCTCTAGAAATGTACGCCATTCTCAAGACACATCCATGACTTCCCATGAAATTACAGAACTCATAAGAAAGTATAGCGGAAGCAATTTAAAAAGAAAACAGTACAAGTTTAGACCCAAAGGCAAAATAGTAATTTTTAACAATATCTAGGTGCTACCGAGCACACCATTGGAAAGACAGCGAAAAATTAATCAAGTTAGACTCAATAATCACTTGATTCGTAGTCCGGATGGAAGAGAAAAGTCAAAACAAAGTTTTGACATCGCCGTGGTGTTTTGACAACAATAAACAATGTTTTTGACAGCAGTGAATAGTGACCTGGGCAAAATGCTGAAATCCGTGAGCCTTTTTGAGGCACTAAACGACATTTTTTAGAAAAACACGAAAAAGAAATCCCCCTCAAAATAATTTTTCTAAGCTGACCATATCGAAAGAAAATTTTATTTTTGTCGTGAAATCCCCAAAATGTCCTTATAACAGACTTTTTCAAAAAATGCAAATGCGCATAGAAAATCAGATTTGACACAGAGTTTTCGATATCGAGATGGCATTTTCTGGAAAAATACTGTGAAGAAACCCCACCTAAAATCACGTTTTCTACGTGACCATGTCAAAGGCGGAATTTATTTTTCAAAAGAAATTCTCAAAATACCCTTAAATCAGTTTAGATAAAAAAAAAAAAAAAAGGGGGCCGGGGGGGGGGGGGGGGGGGGGGGAAACTTTGCACCAAGTGTTCATTTGACCCTAAATACTGTTGTGTGCTAAAACAATCATGAACGCAAACGTAAATAGTGACTTTAAGCACGCGGGAATGGTCCGCGACTTCCAAAAATGCCCGATGCAAAATAC